CATTTCCAATCATATTCCATTAGCCAGAATTAGTCACCTATGCACATCTAGGGAGACTGGGAAACATAGTCATTATTCTGAGACTACTTGATACTCTTCAATAAGGGAATCCTTTCTCTCTCTCTTCCATTGAATGTTACAACCTGGCATGGGCAGGTTGCATGGAGGAAAGCCAAGGCAACTTGACCCTGAAAAAATTTTTGGTGATTTCTTTATCCCAATTTCTCCGAAAACCAGAACACAGTGCTCCCTGTTCTCCTGGGCAGGGTCCCCCACATTGTTCTTTCTAAAGCAAGTCATGATGGTCTGGCTGTCAGTCTTCACTGAATGAGAGAGTAGAAGCCCTTCCCTTGGTTCTTCTATCTGCATGTAAAGAAAAATCAAGAACAGTAGCTCTAAATAAAGACATGCACAGAAATCAAAGTGAAATAAGGACTTGCCAGCTTTGTAAGACTATTTTCCCCTTGTCAGCATCTTCTAATATGTGGTTTGTTTGTTTCTCCCTCGGGTCAAATAAATTATCTACCTTGAGAATTTCCTTTACAGCGCTGGATCATTCTTGCTTTAGTCATCATTGGTACAGCAATGCTTCTGCTCCAGGTGTGGGAACTCTGTAAAAACCAGGCACATCTCGGGCACCTGGGTGGCTCAGTCAGTTAATCTTCCAACTCTTGGTCTCTGCTCAGGTCATGATCTCAGGGCTGTGGGATCAAGCCCCACGTCGGGCTCCACGCTCAGCATAGAGTCTGCTTAAGATTCTCTCTCCCTCTCCTTTTGCCCCTCCCTCACCCCATTCCAGCTCTCTCTCTCTCAAAAATAAATAAATAAGTCTTTTTTTAAGGTGTTAAAAAAAAAAAACAGATACATCTCACACCTCAGAGCTCATCTCACGGTGGCCAATATAGTCAAAAAATTTTCCAAGTCAAAAATCAGAACATATGGTCTGACAGTAAAATCCGAACTTAGGAGGACAACAAAACACAATTTTGAAGTCATAGTGAAGAAAAATATCAGAGATGATCACTGTAGTCATAGACACCCTTATGAAGGCATGTTGACGCACACTTCCCACCCTTGCTCAAAAAGGAAGGCATGAAAGGCAATTTCCCTTTCTATTTTGAGAAATCTTTTATGGCCACTTAAAATCTAATTCAGGGGCTAGCAGCTTCCTTTTCCAGGAATACAGAAGATAATAGGAATTATTATTCCTCTTTTTTCATGACTAGGTCATGTCTCTCTGAGAACATCATAAGCCTTTTGTCCATTAGGGATTTGCTATATGCATTTCGTTGTCTGCGCATGAGGGATGCTCAGTTAATTCTTCCCAGTTACACTGCAGGATGGAACAAGTGTTGTCCATGGATGTCACTTATAACCCTTAATAGGAGAGGGGAAGAAAGAAATGGCAGAAAGAAGGGCATGGAAAGGGAGTTTAAGAGTAAGGGAAGGGAAGAATGAGAGAAGGAAGAGCAGGGGCCCCCAGGAATTGTTGAGCCATTGAAGGCTATGGATCATCTGCCCCCACTCCCCAGGAAGCCACCAAATGTGTTGCTTTACCTTATAATCACAAATTGATCAATTGCCCTTTTCAAAAGACAGGAGAGTAGAAGTGTAAGATTTCCTATAGAAAAATATAACTGGGCCAAATAAGTTGTTTATTTGGCCTGGACCAGAAAGACAGATTGAGCATTTAGAAATGTTTATGATTGTTTATTGCCATTTTTTCATGACCTTGTTTGCCCACATCATAGAGAAAAGGGATTAAGATCTCAGTATCCTTTTTACAAATATTAAGAGGAGGAAAGCTAACTTATTTATCCTTGCTGCAACTTATTACCCTCTAAGAAAATATAAGTGCTTGGCTCTATGTTGAAAATGGCCCACTTACATTTTAGTAAAACTCAAGCTGTGTATGTTTAATTTACAAAACTTATCGTTGGCTACATCATTTAACTAATTCATCATGAATGGCTTTGCAAAAGCTCTTGATTTGCTCTGCTAGTCCTCAGGTAACATTATTTTATGTGAAATGCTGTTGCCATACTAAAGATAACTAAACATTGAATAGTGATTGAAATAATTTTGTTCATTTTGGAGTAAATATGTATAATTCATGTTTTCAGCTCTTGCCAGTTTCACATTTTACTTAGCAGAAAGTATCTACCTGAGACCTGGCTACTTCAGAAGGAAATTCTGAAGCATTATTTCATTATTATTTTATATACAGGGATTCTAATATGTGTAATCATAAGGCTTTTTATGTGACTATAACCCTACTCGGTTGTTATTTTTGTGGGCTTCTTTTTTTACTTTTAAGTCCATATTGAAAAGGCAAAAATGTCTTCAACAGGGGCGCCTGGGTGGCTCAGTTGGTTAAGCGACTGCCTTCGGCTCAGGTCATGATCCTGGAGTCCCTGGATCGAGACCCGCATCGGGCTCCCTGCTCGGCAGGGAGCCTGCTTCTCCCTCTGACCCTCCCCCCTCTCATGTGCTCTCTGTCTCTCTCATTCTCTCTGTCTCAGATAAATAAATAAAATCTTTAAAAAAAAAAAGAAAAAAAATGTCTTCAACAGGACCTGTTTTATATAGAGAGACTCCCTCATGCAATGGATTTTTCCATCTAAATTAGTTTGTGCCACAGTTTTGCCAAAAACATGTATCTAATCTTCTTAAATCCCTCCTTACCACAACTCAATCGTAGGATCATAACTTCATACAAAGTAGTCCCAAAGTATTTTATGCAAAAATCTCCTTCATTAGTCTCTCTTCAGTGGGCAAGTTTTGATTTAGCTGACCCACAGGTATCATGAGTCCTTCTTGCCTTTTTATCTCTTTCAGTGTCAGTTTCTTTCTGTCCTTCAGACAGTCTTCTGTCTAGGCATCACGTAGTCGGCAGGGCAGGCAAGCTCCTCAGACTTTAGCGTCAAGATAGGTAGAGAACTTCAAGAGGTAGGATGTTCTCTGATGAGCTGTGGAGTCTCAGAAGTCAAAGGTTCACAGAGGCAGAAGGAGCATCCATCTGCCTGCTCCTCCTGCACTCTGAAACCAATGGTCTCTGGAATACCCATGAGATGGTCCCTTCCTTGTGCATGGCCCTTCTCTCATCACACAGTCCTCTTTCCACTAAATACACCTGACTCAAATCACAGTCTGGACCACACTGGTAAATTCTGCATTGAATAAATATTTTACCCAGTTCACACCATCAGCCAAGCATTTGCTGGGCACATAGCCCCTGCCCTCAAGGAGCTCATAATTTAGTAAACTAACCAATTTTGAAAGATTCCAGTGATTAAAACCCCCCAATCAGTTTTGCTGAGCCATTAATGCAGAAGCTGAGAGACTAGGAGGAAAAAGGGGAGTCATAAAGTCTGGATCAAGATTTTCAACATTGTCAGGAACTCCCACATACAGGACAGCCCATAGAATAAATGAGACCTGACCTCTCAAAAGTATGCATTTTTCTTCATTAGGCTATGCGTGTGTGTTTTTATTTGTCGTGGTTGTTTTTAAATTAAACCATTTATCTCTCCCTCTCTAAATATCTGAAATGACATTAGTGATATTTTGGACAGTCATGCTGGTTTTTCAAGACAACTCCTATAGGAAGCTTTCAAAATAAATCAGGCTGTTAATAGGAACCCAGTCAACTCTCAAAGAAGTTAGAGTCAAAAGAACATACTCTGTCCTGTGGAACAGCAGTCTCTGCTACTAAAGGGAAGACCTGTGCTTGGGATGAGCTGAGTTCCCACCAGTGGATCTGTAGGAGTCACTTCTCTCTGAGGCAGATCTGCCTTCAGGCCCAGGTCCTTTATGTCCTCAGGAACATTTCCAGGGCCTTTCCTTTGGCCATCTTGCTATCACTTGTGAACATTTAACCAGAAACCTTTAAACCAGGAAAAGGAGATGCCATGATATTCAAACTAGCCAATTCAAGTTCTTCAACAGCTCTCTGTTTGTTAAGAAGAAGCTCTTGGGGCACCTGGTGGCTTGGTCAGTTAAGTGTCCGACTCTTGGTTTTGGCCCAGGTCATGATCTCAGGGTCGTGAGATGGAGCCCTGGGTCAGGCTTCTCACTCTGCTTGGTGCCTGCTTAAGATTCTCTCCTTCTGCCCCTTCCCCCATTCTCGCCTCCACACTCTGTTTCCCTCTAATGACAGAAAACAGGGGCAGATTTTCTCTATAGCTCTGATTTATTTGCCACCATTACTGTTTTCAACTCTAATTACTGTGGTGTTGGGGGGTGGGTATTTGCGAGCTGTAATTGTTACTACAGAATTCTAATGGGAAAGCATGTGACAGAAGATAAAAAGATATATCTTCAAGTTATAAGGGGCCAGTCGCTTCTGTTATTTTTTCCATCCACATTTATTTTATTTACATTAATGGAGTACTTACTATGTGTTTACCTAACTGGCCTGGGACTAGGTAGGAGGATAGAAAGGTGACTAAGAAGTAAGCCTACCTGCGAGAGATGAACTAAACCAGCCCAGGAATGCCTGAGACAAACAATTCCACAGGAGCTGAGAGAGTGTGCAGTAGATACCATGGAAACACAGAGGGGAACTAATTCTCCCTGCAAGAGGGATCAGCAAAGGCTTCCCAGAGAAACTGAGCCCTAAGGGGTTGTATGCTTTACGCTTAACAGACAGTTAAGACTAAAAGCAGAGAAGCAAGGGAAAGATCCATCCAGTTATTGGAATCCTAGAGGGAGGGGGTTTGCTTTCAAATAATCTTAAAACAATTTAGCATTCCTTTTCCAGGTTTACTAGCTTTCACCCCTCCCATCTCTGGGTATCCGACTGGAGTGGGCTTTCCCACCCTACAGAGGTGATAGAGCTTTTCCAATCATGTATTAAAACTGCTTTCAAGGACCGTGCTGAGTTCTTCTGCCAGAAAGGGAACACAGTAGCAGACATTCAAAAGAGCAACATCTACCTACCCAGAGAAGCATTAACCATTTTCCCTCTCTTCTTCTTCCTTGCCTCCAGGTCTTTGCAGAAGACGGGTCTGGAACCTAACCACGGGGTGTCCATGACCCCCGAGGTTGCCGCCCACCAGCAATGAAAGGGTTATCGGGCAGCCGCAGCCACCACCACGGCGTCACCTGTGATTCGGCCTGTGACTCGCTGTCGCACCACTCCTCGGACCGCAAGCCCTACCTGCTGAGCCCGGTGGAGCACCACCCCGCGGACCACCCTTACTACACCCAGCGGAACTCCTTCCAGGCCGAGTGCGTGGGCCCCTTCAGCGACCCGCTGGCCAGCAGCACCTTCCCACGCAGGCACTACACGTCACAGCAGGAGTTGAAAGACGAGTGCGCCCTGGTGCCCCGCACCCTGGCCACCAAGGCCAACCGCATTCCCGCCAACCTCCTGGACCAGTTTGAGAGGCAGCTGCCGCTCAACCGCGATGGCTACCACACGCTGCAGTACAAGCGCACCGCCGTGGAGCACCGCAGCGACAGCCCCGGCCGCATCCGCCACCTGGTCCACTCGGTCCAGAAGCTCTTCACCAAGTCGCACTCCCTGGAGGGGCCGTCCAAGGGCAGCGTGAACGGGGGCAAAGCCAGCCCCGACGAGACGCAGACGGTGCGGTACGGCAAGCGCAGTAAGAGCAAGGAGCGGCGCGCGGACCCCAAGGCCCGCCCCAACACCTCCCCCGGCTGGTGGAGCTCCGATGACAACCTGGACGGCGACATGTGCATCTACCACGCGCCCTCGGGCGTGATGACCATGGGCAGGTGCCCCGACCGCTCGGCCTCGCAGTACTTCATGGAGGCCTACAACACCATCAGCGAGCAGGCGGTCAAGGCCTCCCGGAGTAACAACGACGTCAAGTGCTCCACCTGTGCCAACCTGCCTGTCAACCTGGACGCGCCGCTCCTGAAGAAGAGCGCGTGGTCCTCCACTCTGACAGTCAGCCGTGCCAGGGAGGTTTACCAGAAAGCCTCGGTTAACATGGACCAGGCCATGGTGAAGTCAGAGTCATGTCAACAAGAACGTTCCTGCCAGTACCTTCAGGTACCATTTATGTCAAGTGATGGATGCTTAGAAATTGTACCTGCTAATTGTGTGGTGTTTTCTCCTGGGCCCTAGTCTTGGCTCTGCTGTGAATTGTCTGCATGAACCTGAGCAAATTATTTAGCGTTTCTCTGGCCAATTGCTCCTATCAGGAAACAAACCGGCTACCCAACTCCATCCAGTTATCTTGAGACACTAGATATAAAAGTGCTTTGAAAAGCATGCCTACATGAAGGCAAGGAGTTATTAATGTTTAGTGTTCCTCTTTCGTCTGAGGGAACATGGGATAGGGAGGTGAGAAAAGGGGAGTCTACACAGAATTTTAAAATAAATCCACCTTTTTTTCTTTTTTACAAAAGTCAACAATGATCTTTTGAATTTTGGAAGGAGTTTCATTAGATCTATCCAGAGTGGTTTTTTTTTCCTTTATGGTAAAATTCTGCCTTAAGCTATTTGTTTGGGAAACTTGATCTATCTTCTCACCACTGTAATTGTTATCACCACCTCCAACACTAACCACACTCCCACCCAAACCCCCACCCCCACCCCCCAGAGCACAGGGAATTGGAACAATGCCCTGGGCCCTGAGGAGGTGAGATCAAGCCAGTTGGGGGACCTGACAAGCACAGCTGCAGAGACCCAGGAAAACGGAGGAGGAAAAGCAGGGGGAAGCAGCCACGAAATAAAATGCAATTAGTGTCAGTGTGTAAATCCCACACACGTATAGACCCAAGGCAAGCCGCTCCTCCTCTTTCAGTCTCCTCATGTGTTTCACTAATGCCCTTCCATTCACTGAACCTAGAAAACATCAGGAGCAAAGTCTTTTTCTTTTCCCCCTCCCCACCCCACCTCACCCCCGCCTCCCGCCGGGGCCAATTCCTCTATCTGGTAATTGTCATTTTTCCCAAGATAATAACCCTCCCTAAAAAGGACCCTCATATTTTTCCTTTTCACGGTGTCTTTTTTTCTCTCTTCTCTCCTGTACACCCATCTTTAAAAAAAAAAAAAAAGTTTTTATTGGACTATAAAGGCATGCCATAATCATTTCGCACTCTCATCCTAAGAAGAAATGCAAGGAAAAAGTCTTCCACTGAGAAATTCAACTTTTTGCTCTCTGAATTGCTCCTGACAAATCTGGCTCCCTTGAGAATGCCTCTGCCAAGCCCTGAGAATATGCCAGGCAGGCAGTCACCGGGCAAAGACATCCCAGTATTCAGAAGAAGCCACCAACATGCGGATAGTTTTCACAAAGAGCACACAATTCCAATGGTCAGTTTTTCCCACTCAGAGTGGTATTGCCTCATTTACTATAAGGTTGCTAGAGGAGTTAAGCCATCAAGAATTATTAATGGAATTTTAGAGCTAAAGAGTACATCTATTCCAACCTCCTCACTTAGCATATAAAAAACTAGCCTCGAAGAAAAGTAAAGGCTTAGTGGGTTATTCTGTTATATTGTTAGTATAGAGGGAGGAGAGAATCCAAGTCACTTAATTTATAGAAATGACTATAACAAGGGTTACAACTGAAGCTTTAGAAATTGTTTAGGCATATCAATCTTACCCACCACCTAGAATAAAGTATTTTGATTAGAACATCTGTCCTGAAGAAAGGATGGGTAATGAGATAGGAGCCCTAGAACAGGATAGTTTATCTATGAAAGTTCTGTAATGGGTGGGAAAACAAACAAACAAACAAAAAAACACAACAAATTAAAAAAAAACCTGGACTTTAATAAGTAGTGATGAAATTAGATAAGAAATACCAGATTAAGGAAGAAAACTCTACAAGGATCCAGGAACAGCCTTTGTTAGTGACAAAATGCCTTTTATATGCTTGCATGATTGCCTACGTTCTTCTTGCCTCAAATTCCTTTTTCTTTCTTTTTTATGCCTTTTTGCAGTAAAAGGCTCAAGTAGTGGAGAAAAGTGGAAGGATAAGGAAACTGATATTGATTGAAAATCTACAATGTATCAGATGCTATAGCAAATGTTTTCACATTTGTTATTCCATTTAATTTTTAAGATAATCCTGAGAGCTTGATATAATAATCCTCTGATTTTACAAGAAAGGAAACTGAGATGAGAACTATCAAGTGATTTTAAAGCCACATGGCCAATAAGTTGAAGAACTGAGAATTAGACTTATATCTATTTGATGCAAAATAGCTCTTTCCAGTACATCCCAGCACAGCCCTGGAATCAAGGGCATGAAAATAGTGAACAGGAGGGAAAAAAATCTGTAGAGCAAACATATTATTATTAAAAGCTTTTCAGTAAAATGAGAATGAAAGCTTGAAGATTTAAGTATGAGATTTAGTATCGTAGCATTATTAGATCTCATATTCAAAAGATTTGGGAATTCTGTTTTCAAGGTATTTACCTTCTTTTAAGCCAGTTTTTTAATGAAATATTTGAGGCTTACAGAGAGGTATAAAGAAAAATAATAATAAAACAAACCCAGTTATATGTAACCCAGCTGGAGAAATAAAACATTAATTACAATGGATCACTTATATACCTTCCCCAATCCCATTTCCTTCCCTTCGTCCCCAGAGTAACAGCTAATCTGACTCACTACCCAAAGGACCTTTGCTTTTAATTCTGAAGTTATTGAAAGATTGAAAGAAATTAATATTTTCTATCATACATTGGGCAATAATTAACACTGGGCCAAGCTAGTTAAACCCTTTAAATATAAACTGAGCTCAAAGGCACACCTTCTTTAATAAATATTGACATTTATTGAGCTCCTATTCTGTGTGAGGCTTTCAGACTGGAAAAAAATTTCTGTATTTCAGTGTGAGCAGGTAGTGGGTCTAGCAGACAAACTAAATGTACAACAGTGTGTTCTTCCCACCCAGCATGCAGAGTTAGTTAAAGGGCTCCTTGGAAGAAGGGGAAGAAGGAGTTGCACGTTCACAGGGGGAGGGAGGAGAACAGGAAACTCCTAAAACTGGACATTCTGTCCAGCTCTCTTCTTTCTTTAGAAAAAAGAGGGACTCCACCATCCTACCGAAGCTCCTCTCAGGAAGACAGGTGTAGCCAGCCCCTGCCCACTCCCATGCAATGATTTCATTTATAAGCTCATTCTTAGAAGCAAATTTGGGGAAATGAAGAAAAAAATGTTTTCCAGTTCTATTACCTTAATTACCAACTAATAGTAAAACTGGATTTACAAATGTTTGACTTCAACCTCACAAAGTTTAGTGGATAAAGCACTGAACTTCAAAGGAGAGGGTCTACGTTCTAGTCCCTGCTTGCCATTAACGGGTGAGCGGTCACTGATTAGCCAGTGACCATCATCTCAGCTCTCTGGGTCTCCTTCCTCTGCTATAAGATGAGGCATTTGGCCTAGAGGACCTGCGATCTGAGTTCACATTTTTAACCTCCTTAGTTACATATGAGGAGTACTAATTAGAGCAATTTTCAAGAGTTGCAAGGCCTGGAAACTCTCATGTGATACATGTCTACCAAAAGTACATGTTTTTCCAGTGTTATCTAATTTGCTCTGTAAAACTCTGTGAAGTATTTTACAGTTGAAGAAACTGAAATTTAGTAAATGAGGTTAAGTAGCTTGCCTAAGGACACACAGTTCGTACGCGGCAACATGGAGGGTCAGAACAGACTCACCGGCCTTCAAAGCCTGGGGTTTTCGCTCTACCATGTCCAACCCCGACCGGTTCCAAATATAAAACAGAGGGAGGAAGTGGCATGTATCAAATACTTGTTATGTGCCAGAAACCACACAGTATCTCATTTCGTACCTGAAATAACTTTGTAAAGTATTATGTTTACTCCAGCTTTGCAGGTGACTAAACTAAGGCACGAACAATGAAATCACTTACTCAGGAAGTCATAAATAGTAAGTAAAAGAGCTAAGACTTGCTCCGAGATCCGTCTGAGTCTAAAATGTGCTCCAGGAATGGAAATAAATGCTTTTTACTTTCATTTTATTCCCTGCTTTATTCTGTAGCAAATGTTTGCACTCCCTTGACCTCATCTCTGTATGTGCAGTTAGGCACGCAGGTACAGGAAATGTGACCCATCTTAGACAAGCAACCGAAGGACTGATCTGTCCCTGGTTTGATTCGAGACTGCACAAAGGTTAAATTAATAGTCACCAATAGTAGAATCTAAATACGAGCAAAGTTCTGATTCTCTCTTTGGAGAATTACCACTTGGAATTACTTTAACTTTAGCCATTACCACGGTTATACAGAAAATGAGTCTGTAGGTATTTGGCCTCTGATTGACATTGATTTAGAAATAAAATACTGTAGCTTGAAATTATGGCAAGATCCAGTTAATACAGTCAACTGTGATCTGTGCTCACTCACAAGCTGTTTGTAGTTAATAAAAAAAAAAAAAAGACTCCCTTTTTTCCCCCAATATTGTTATTTTTAAATGTCAAGAATCAGATGTCGGCTGTTTAGAATCTTGTACCCCTGCCAGGGACTGGTACAGGGTTTGGAGCAGGGACATGGATTTGAAGACATTAAAACTGTTTAATTCTCAGTTGAGATGTGGTTGGCTTTTATACATTTGGAATAGAGCATTTATGGCACATCTCCGGGTAAGTGCTAATAGTTAAGTAAATAAAATAGGAATGGGCTGGGAGGAGTAAAAGGAGTTTTTGTTGTTGTTTTGTTTTGCTCTAAATGAGCAGGATTCTTGGTTCTGTATATGCCTCTTTATGTGAACGTTCTGTGTTGAGTGACTAGCATCTAAAGCCATTCAGAGGAGCAAGATTTTAGATTTCCAACTGTTAACCTGAAAAAAAAAAAAAAATCCCTTCAATCATGTATTTTGCATTCATCCAGCAGCAGAAACAGGAAAAGGGAAACAAAACGCTCTCTCCGGTAGAAGTAGAGACACACAGGGAGAGAGAGAGAGAGAGTGCAAGACAGAGACGGAGAAAGAAAGCCACTCTCAGAGATGAAATTTTAGGAGAGCGAAATGATCGACCTTTTTAAGGCTGAGTGGGTTTCTTCAGTTTGTGTGCAAGTTTCAAGAAATGGAAGGACTGACCAGGTTTGGGTACAACCCTTTTATTACTTTGTATTTGGTGATAGTGT